CGGCGGCCAATCGAGGTACCGGTGAGCAACCGGCCCGCTCGAGTCCAGCTGGAAGAACCGAGGGCCTGAGCCCGTAAAGACTTGCACTCACACTGTGGGGTGCGCATAACTGAACTGTATTCGTCATCTGTTACATTCAGTGGACCTCGCGTAGAGAATAAAGAATGCTTCATTTCCAAAACAGGACCCGGGCAAGGTGCCGTTTCAGCGTTTCTAGAAGGCGCTGTAATACATGAGCCCCGCTGGGAGGATGGCAACCCCGTAGCGAGTGCAAGGAGCCGCGGGAAGAGGAAAGGGCTAGCGGTTGCCAAGAAAGGCGCAACAGCCCAAACTGGGGCTTCCTCTTCAGCTCCCCGTTGCTTGGTTAGTGCAGCTGAATGACCATCCGAGGTTACCCTTGTACACAAGTGTACAAGGGAAACCAGACTGGCTGTCCACTTACCTCCTAATTTATTAGCGGCCAATTGGCAAATTTGCATCTGGTAACTGCAAACTTAATTTCTTACCTTAACTGAGATTTACGATGAACATGGCATCTGTGCTAACTTTACTATGAGGAACCTGGTATTGGGAGCTATAGCGGTCATCCTCTTCAGCATTCCGATGAGGGAACAGGCCCAAGTAATACTAATGACTACTGAAAGTACTTTAGTACTGTCAGCACGGTACAGCGCTTTAGTACCGTCACAGTTGAGCCTCCACTTATAATCTGTAATGAGCACCTTGTTCCTAAATGGAATAGGAGAACACTTACAGATTTTTAATTTTTTTTTAACTTCCTAGCTACAAAAAATGGTTGAAAAAACTTCAGAGAGAGACTTTGCAATTTAGAGAAACACAGAGAAGGATGAAAACCCTGAACAGTGTAAACTAATCAAGTTAGTCAACTTAGTATTTCAAGTTTTTGCGCCCAAACGTCAGATAAGACCGGAGTGAACATTTAAATAAATCCCTTCCTCCAAAGGAGGACGATAGCGTGGCTGCAAAGACTTGCTAGAGTTGTAGCAATCGTGCCAACGACACCGCAGGTTTAGCGGGCATCGTTGAGCTGCCTCGCCACGCTGAGGATATGCTTAGCTCCCTTGCTCAGAAGTAAAGTAGCTAGTTCAACACCAAGGTTCTCTGCAGCTTCCTGGGCCTGACCAGGGACGTTCTTGGCTGTGATGCCAACATGCTGCACATCGTCGTTCGGTCCATCTTCATTCTGCGAACATAAACACCTCAATGTAAGGCAGCGGGAAGGAGTGGGCAATTAATAGTTTAAGCCACATGCGAAACGGGGTAAAATCTGTGGTCTGAGGAGCCTCGAGAACAGTGCGCTGTTCCAGTTTCCAAGGAACCGGACCAAAAGTAATAAACAGATTTCCAGAGGTCTGGTTTTGTCATTCAGCTTCAGGTTTGGATTTTGAACCCGCCGTGGTTCACATACCTGTTGGGGATAATTAACACTGGTCTGCATAGTCTCCTTCAGGCTATCGGATCCATCCAAACTGTAGACTGCTCCTGTCAAATACAACTTGGAAGGACATACAGAAGGGATTAATACCGCATTAACAAACAAAGAGAAAGTCAACTACCCCCTTTTTTAAAAAAAAAAAACACGCAACATACGAAGCCAAGCCTGGAGGGGGAGGCTTTAGCGGTGCAGTGGCATCAGCAAGAATAGCAATACAACACAACTGTAAGAAAAGTAATGCCTGTTGGGGAAGATGTGACTTCCCAAGGAAAAAGCCGAACTTTTTTCTAGCTTCCCCCCTCCTTAATTGCACTCCGTTGTGTAAAAACCCTGATTTCGTGGGGTCAGAAGCGAGACTTTCAGATCTCGGGGCAACACTGCTTTTACAGAAGGGCGGGGGGGTGGAAATCTGGTACTAATATAAGGGCATTTTCTAGAAGACTGAGCTTCAGGAGCCAAACCTGTTCTCATACTCCTGCTTTGGACACAAACCCAGAAGGCTCGAGTCAGGAGCCTATCTGCCCTAATTGGCTACAAAGGTATCTGCTGGAGTTACCTTCAGGGAAGGATCAAGGAACACACACGCACGTGCTGGAATAGGTTTTCAGAAATAATCCCAGATAAATAGAAAGTGCTCCTCACCTGGCCATCTTTCAGCATGGTGTTGACGGCAACAGGGACGCTACATCCACCCTCCTAAAACAGAAAGCAGCTGATGGTGAGGCCTCTACCCGACACGTTCAAAGCAGAGGCCTCTGAAAAGCTTGGACTGCACCCAACCCCGCCTATCGCTCTTCAGGCCCTTCTCAATTCAGAAGTCAATCTCTACTTTGCAGTTTTAGGAAAGCGTAACAGATTTCCCATACTATGGCATCAGGTCAAGTAGCAGAGCAGTATTTACTGCTGCGGGCAGAAGAGCAAGGATGCCGCACCTACCAAATGTTTCATGAAGGCTCTCTCAGCAACGCAGCGTAACACGGTGTCCGCATCATGCAGGGCAGCTACCATATTCAGTATCTCTTGGTCTTTGGCACGAACTTCCACTGCTAAGGCACCCTATAAAAAGAGGAAGAAAAAGGAAACACACAATGTAGTAGTCATAATAATTCCTCAATTTCATGCATCTCTGTGTGCACTCTGCATCGGTCATGAAACGGAACTCAGAGGCTTGGATGCATTTCACTAAGGGAGCAATGTTTAGACGTTTACAGAAACAAATTACAAAACAATTCGCTGGTTGCAGAGACATGCTATAGCAGCTGGTGTAAAGGGAAGATCAGAACTTACTTCAGCCAAGTATTCAAGATCACACTGTCACCTCAAACCATTCTAGAACCTATCTCAGTTATGACTGCATACGTAGAAACGTCCACCCCGACGTCCCTTTGTGATGAGAACACTGGATAAATCCAAGCTTCCCAACCTTTTCTCAAGATGAAGTGCTGAACAAGTAACAATTCGTTGTTGCCAAGACAATTCTTCCCCAAACTGGAAACAAGATTGGGGGCGGGGGGGGATGACACAGGGGACGGATGGGGGGACGGGACGGGGAGGACCTGCACAGTACCTGACTAACACGTGGTCAAAATAACTGTTTGAGACTGAATTTGCAGATTCGTCACTTGCAATCACTAATGCACAGCCAGCTTGGGTTTAGCAAGTTTGATACGCACCGTGCAACACTGCGTAAACTCAGCCACACGGCCAGCACGGGCTGGAATGGTTTGCTTGCCTAGAAACAAGAGCGCTAAGAATGCACTCCAAGGCAGGTGTTTCAGCTCCACCCTACGGGAGTCAGGACAACAGGGCAAAGATACTGCGGCGGCTCTGCACAATTATCCTGGTACAGCGAAACACTGACCCTGCCAGAGCCTGCCCCACATCTGCCGCATCGCCCCAGTGTAGTCGTGCCACACATTACCTTCACCTTTCACTGTTTTTCCATTACTGATGGAAATCAGCCCCCACCACACACCGGGTAACAGAGCTGACTACCGTTCTTCCCACAAGCTGGGCCTAAAACAGCGTTACGGCCAACAAGAGAGATCGATGTAGCAGTTCCTTGGCAACCAACACACGAGAAGTATTTGGCACAATTAACTACTCTGACGCATCGTACTGCTGCCAACTTTCAATACGCGGTATGGCTTAAGATATGAGAGTTGTAACGTACCTGTCCAACGGCATACAGACAATCTTCAGGGCTTAGGAGCTGGAAGAAAGTAAAACCAGGGTTCACTCAAGTTGCACTGTTCAGAATATAGGAAGCGAGAGCCAAATTCTATGCTCACCTCTAACATCGACTGATTTTGTGCCTGATCAAAGAAGCACCACCTCCCCCTTCCCATGCCTCAAAACGTTTCCACCCCTAAAGTGAGATCATGTGCTTTCCTTCACCTGGACTGTAACACACTGTGAATTAGCTATTCAGAAAAATCTTAGTCATGCACGCTGCTGCGTTGCTAGACACGAGTATTGTGAAATGCTGGGAGACGATCAGATTACAAACTGTTACTGCACCACGGAAAGCTGAACAGTATAAATATCTGTGTGAAGAAAACAAAAACAAACAAACAAACAAAAAAACCCAGGAAAAAATCCTCCCTGAAGCACATCAAATCACGAGCTACCGTGGCAATGGATTGAGCAGACCGCATGCTCACCTTTGACAGGACAACTGCAAGGTCTGAAAGGCAAGCAGTTGACCAGAGAACGGTATTTTCTGCTTTGCTGCTCCTCACCTGGCCAATGCGATTCTCCCAGCCCATTCTCTTCAGCCCAGCAGCAGCCAGGATGATGGCACTGAAGTCTTCCTTCTCATCTAGCTTCTTTAAGCGGGTATTTAAATTCCCTCTCTGTAGAAGTGATTAAGCAAGCACAGAAACAGCAGGCAAACAGTCCTATAACCACTTAACATTTGCTTGAGTGCGTTTAAAGAAGGCGCAGAATCCAACAGCCTCCAAATGAGAATCAGAGTACCGTCCCGAAAGAAGTGTTAAATATGGACAACTGTTTCTTTAAATAGCATTTTGCTGAGCATTATGAGCATATTAATTCAAGCACTGACTCTCAAAAAGATATGCATGTCATCATAGTACATTATTAACACCCGACACCAACTCCTTTTGCATAGCAAAGAACTAGGTTACTAGGACCGAAGCAACGGTGCCTTTTACCACTAGTTCAGCGGGCCACATTGGAACTAGTGGCCCAAATCGCATCTGGGATATTGGGAACCAAATCAGCATTTGGCCACACCACTGCGACAGACACACGCTAGGCACCCTTCAAGCAGTTTTTTTGAACATCCCTTAACATAAAATTCATCTGCATCCTGAATTTCAGCTAGGTGAAGGCTGGCCCCTTCTTTACAGCCTCGTGAGAAAGCAGAGGACAGAATGGGCTGCAGTACGCTATACACCCCTCTGAATAGGTTAGCGGAGGGCAGCCTTTGAGGAAGCGGCTTGTTCTTGTAGGTCAGGTGGTATAAATCAGCCTTGATTCTAGATTTCGCATTAAGTTGTATTTTCCTGCTTGCAGCTTTACCCAGCTCCCCCGTTTGGCCAGGAAAGGATACAATATCCCTGAATTCTAACTGAGGGAACTTCTTTTTGAGCTGGGCTGCTCTCCGAAGCGAACTGGTTCCAATCACACTGTGGGGAAAATAAAATCAATGAAATCCAGAATACTCCTATGCTTACCTCCAGCCAGAGAGATGTCAGAACTTTCAAGGAAACAAATGACTTTTTTTTTTTTTTTAATTGAAACGAAGATCGAAGAATTTGCCAGTGATTTATATCGCCTTAGAAGAAAGAAAACCACTTTGTGAGGTTTAGCATAAAGCTGGGCTGAAGCTAGTGGGCAGGCAAGCCACTCCCAAGGAACTGATTTACAGGAGATGCTTCTGGAAGGCAGCCCCTAGCCACCGTCAAGGACTGATGAAACCTCATTTAAAGACGGCAACACTTGTCACAGAAAAGAGACTCGGCTGCCCCGAACTGAACCAGACATAGCCAGACAACTGAAGTTACTAAAATGAAGGGGCTTCATCAATAACAGAAATCCAGTGGGAGGAGAACCTTTGGAAACAGTAGGGTGCATAACCAGGAACCACAGAAAACCACCAGTCTGGACAGTAAGCGTTTCCTTTCTAGAGGTGTATGCTATTCACTTTTCTTGGTACCCTGGAACCCAAACCAGGTGTGATTTTCCTGCTATCCAGATGCGCAGAAGCGCGAGTCTACGTTTGTATCACAGCTAGTTTGTTTCTTTTACATGAACATGCGGGGGGGGGGGGGGGATTTCTTTCTCATAGTTACCTTCATCTGAGTAATTTCACTCAGCTGTCTCATACAAAAGACTCCAATAACCTCTACAAAAAGGCAGGTAAATCAAAATGGAGAAACTGCTTATGCTCCCAGCGGAACCGTAAGAGAATGATGCCAAAAAAACAACAAAGAAATCAGAACCGGCTGGGCGAGAACAAGAGCACGGAGACTGCGACAAGAAAGGGTCTAACTTGAGAAAACATTGCAACGCCAGGGTGGCTCAAGAGATCCAACCTCACTCGGTGTGCAGCACTCCCATGAGACAGCGTTGCTCTTTTCAGCAAGTGGGTTCAGTGTAATGTCTATGGAAAGCTAACGGAAGGCAGTGTAAAAGCACTACAGGATAAAGCAAGGAGCTCACTGACTCGCCGCTGGGAAGTATCAGCCAACTCCTCCCTTTCATTCTTACGCCTGACCATCTTCCCCTTCCTCTCCCCACTCACCTCTTTTCAGGAAGGAGGCTCAGCGTTTTCCCACAGTTTTTGGGATGAAAGACGACAGCGTCAAGTGGGTTTTCCCTTCTGCAAAATAATGCAAGCACAGAATGGCTGACACATCATTTAACAGAAGACCGTTAAGCTTAACAGTTCTGCTATCGGTCCCCAGAGGAACTGCCTCTGGCTCCCAAATACCCCATCATCACTGTAAAAGCAAGAATTTCCAGCAAACCTGCTGGCTACGGAACGCTAGGACAGCTCTAATATTTCCGCTGTTTCAGAGATTAATCAGAGGGTGGTCAAACTTTGAACGCCTAAAAGGACCTAAGCTGCCTTTGCTTTCCTACCACTACCAACACTGTAAAATGCACGTCCCTCAGAGAATCGAGCCTCACGTCCACACTTACTTGCAGACGGCACCGATGGTAAAGCCAGGAGGAAGAGAAGTTGGCAGGTCCTTCAAGGAGTGAACCACGAGGTCAACTCTAAAAATTAGAGGACGGTAATCACTAAACAGATGGTTGAGCTCACGCGGTACCTACCAGAGGCCTGCAGGTCGTCTACAGAAAAGCATCAACACCCACCCTGGGAATTAATTTGGAGAAGAGGGAGGAATTTCAGGATTCTATAGCCAGAATTACTATAGAATTCTAGTGTTACTCCCGAAAAGCCGCTTCACCTTTCTCTGTCCCTCTTTTCCCACCTGTAAAATTAAGACAATGCGTTCCTCCCAGCGGCGATGCAAGACACATTACAACAATCAGGTTGAACGAGGGTAAGACGCTGGAGATGTTCACACGGAGAGACTCATCGTACCAATAGGCAACCAGTACATTGTCTAGTATTACGCTTCAAACCGAAAATAATAGCTAGCCAAAGTAAACGCTATCTGCTTCGCTGCAAGGCCAACGAACATCATTGAAAATGCTTGAGTCTCCAGTATTTTTTCACCGACTTTACTTGAAAATGCAGTAGCACGTGCCTACGCGTCAGAGATGCAGAAGAATATATTTGTTTTTAAACCTACTTTAAACTAAGGCATAAGCACCACCGAAGCCCTCCTCGGGATACTGAAAAAGGGAAAAAGGAGGGGGGGGGGGGGGGGGGAGCACTAATCTCCCTCTCTTCCTCCAGCAGGAGCCTGAACCGAGTCCGCAGAAAGAAGTTACCCGGAAAGCAGCACAACTTGCCCATGCCCAATTCTCCTGCATATTTAGCATGCAAGTATGTTAATAAATGTTAACGTGATAATGCTACATACATTACGCAAGATGTTAACACCACCAAGCAAAGTATTTTTAAAAGAACGTACTTGTAAGCAGGGATTAGATTAGATTACATCCTCTCTGATGCGCGTGTAACGCACAAATCACAGGAGGAAAAAACCTAACTGGGGCAGACCAAGCGACACAACATCCCCACTTCAAAATACGTGGCCTAAGCCCAGGGTAGGGGGGAGAGACAATGACTTCTCAAAGGATTTCTTAGCCAGAGAGGTACCAGAACAGAAGGAACCTAGATCACATATGCAGCAAGCCAAAAGATGTCCACAGAGCATCACGAATGCCAGAGGAGGAAGAGAAAACAATGAGCTCTTACTCATTTCTTTCAAGTGCATTTTCTAGCTCTTTGGTGAAGAGGCTCTTCTCCCCAATCTACACACAAATGGAGGAACGTGAATCACAAAAGAAAAATCTACAAATATGTCATCAAATACAATTCTTGCATAGAGGAAGAGGAGAACCTTTACCTTGGAAAGTGCTGTATCCAGGATCTTGTCTCCGGTCGTTGACATGGCAACTGCTCAGAGAGAGAGCACAAGTTAAACGTGAGGCTTGGTCAGAGCACGTAGGCCTAGACTGGAAATATCAACGTAACACGTAACGAGCAGCACAGCATCACACACTACTGCGTGAACACAGGCTCAAGATAAATACAAGAGCAGCTCACTTCTAGAAATACGCTGCACTCAAGACAAATGAAACTGAGACTTCCTTCACCGTCCTCAAAAACAGAGTAAGGGGAAAGAGGGCAGGCTTTGGGAAGAGCTGACCCAGCGGAAACTGCCACGGTCTTTCTCTAGAGTGCCAGCAAACAGGTACTCAGCAGTTCTGTTCAGCGCAAGGCTGGGCTCCCATTATTCCTGCGCTGTTGAACGCCTCAAGCACCGGACAGGAAAATGTCCCTAATGCATAGTGGGGTGCAGCCGGAGCGACACCAGGTTCTCAAACGGACCAACGTAACACCATCTGCCTGACATACTCAGAGCTTCAATCATCAGGAGCTTATGAAATCCACCTTTCTCCCCTAGAAGAAATCAGCAGCCACACAACCTAACCGAATTCAGACAGCACTCTCAGATAAGCGGGGTCAAATCCTCCTCCTCGTGGCAGCACTCTACACACACCTCTTGCACACAAAGATAAGCGGCTGGCGTCTACCCCAGGGCAGCATCCAAAAAAACTTACCAATCTCAATGCGGAGGTCAGGGTATAGCTCACGGAGCATCTCGACTACGCTGTCGGTCTGAATCCGGGCCAGCTGCAACAAAGCAGAAAGCAAAGCCCTACACAAAGAGCACATCATCCATACAGTAGCTAGAGAGGACTTTGCCATTCTTCGATGGTCAGGCATGCGTGACCGCCACGTTCTCTAAAGCGAAAGCATGAGAAATAAGTAGCCCCAAGTAAAATCACTCGTATGTACAAACTCCTTCAACCACGTGAACTCAGACCACGACCAGAGCATTTCACTGAGGAACTTCTTTTGTCGACTAAGCGGCAGAATAACATCTCCCCACATCCAGTGCCGTTGTGATCCAAGCACTGACGAGGCAAAGCAAATCATTTATCGAGTTAGGAAGAGCGACTAGAGCAGAAGACCGTGTGTCAGGATTCACATGCTCTATGTCCAGCTGTGTTATTATGGTCACGGTCACTAGCCGTCCCCCAGTCAGAAATTCCATTTCTCTACACCACCTCGGCGCCCTTATTCATAGACAGCGTTTACCTACCTAACTTTGAGCTGCTTGGTTTCACCTCTGCGGATTGCGACTGCTGAAAGATGCCCGCTCATCGGCAAGCGGGCAGAAAGGTAAGCAAAACCATCCTCTTGTTGCTCAGCGATGAAAGAACGAGTCATATCGCACGCTGGGTACCCTCTGCTTTTTCTAAAAGTATGAATTTTACCAATACTGCAAGTTTTGGGAGAAGCCAGGGGGATTTCACTGTGCCGCTGGAAAAACCTATAGTTAGCGGCAAACACGAGTTACTTATCCTGTGTAAGATCAGAGCCCTATCCAGAGGTGTTCTATGGACAAAAATAAAAGTAACAGCTTAGGCCTACACGCGCAGCAAGCAACAGATCTTGAAGTAGTAAAGTGCAGGATGAACATTCCCTCGCATGAGAACAGCGGAAGCAAGTGAAATAAAAACAGAATTACGCTAGCAGAGGATAGTTCTACACACGCAAGCAGCAGCAGACTCAAGCAACCGCAGGCGAGCTTCAGCTTTTCTCCCACTGGTGAGCTGCGTAGTCTGGGGCAATTAACTTTGTTCTCAGGACTGTAGTTTCCCTACGTATAAAACGAGTATAAGTAGCTGCTTCCCTTTGTACAGACAGGGCCACAGGAGCCTCAGGTTAGAAAAAGAGGTAATACGCATGCACAGCTACGTCCCTTGCCCTGACATCTATGCGCAGCACCTTCTTGAAAGTACAGAATTCTTCTTGGAACATGCTACCAGAATGAACAAGGTTATCTCAGAACAAAGGCCTGAAGGACATTTATCTCCCTTCGCGAGTCTGCTCCTCCCTGCTGCGACCAGCTGGCAAGAGATACCCACTGTATCTCTGGACTCGTCCCTTCCCTGTCCTTTGTCCGGGATGAAGCCGTTAGTCGTCGGGGTTTTCTTCTGGGTTTTTTTTTTCCCGCCTCCCTAGAAGAGCTGCATAAGCCTTGCAAGTTACCTTGCAAGGTCCACAGCAAGGTCCCCGTTATCCCGGCAGGGCACCCGCACCCTCGCCTGCTGTTACCTCAACAAAGGCAGAGCTATTTAGAACTGACCGCCACCCGGGCTCCAAAGGAAGCGTTTTCAAAACTTACTCTAGGGGTACCAAGAAAGGAGCCAGGACGCGTGAACTCCCCCTCCCACGGGGGTCCCCCACGAGGGAGCTCAGCCCCTCTTTGCCGCCTACAAGCGGGATGAGCCAGCGGCAGCTGCGGTGCCAGACTACGTCCCCGCCGGTTCCCCGCTCGTCGAGTCGTTACTCGAACTCGCTTCCCGGGCCGCGGAACTGCCGGGACCCGGAGGAA